GGTTTTTTTGGGGTTTTTTGGGGGTTTTGGATTTTTTTGCCTTTTTTTTGCGGGTTTTTTTGGGGTTTTGGAGGGGTTTTTTTGGGGGGAGCGTTTCTGGGATTTTTTTGCTGGTTTTCAGTTTTTTTGGGATGTTTTGGGTTTTTTTGCCAGTTTTTTTGCCGTTTTTTTGGGGTTTTTTTTTGGGTTTTGGAGGGTTTTTTTGGGGGGGGGTTTCTGGGGTTTTTTTCGGGTTTCTTGGGAGGTTTTGGGGGGGTTTTTTTGGGGGGGGATTTTTGGGGAGGTTTTTGGGGGTTTTTTTGGGGTGTTTTTTGGGGATTTTTGGGGGGGGTTTTTTGGGGCGGTTTTGGGGGATTTTTTGAGGGTTTTTTGGCATTTTTGGGGTTTTTTGGGGGGGGTTTTTTGGTGACAACCCCGGGGACAACCTTGGGTCCCCAGAGGGACGGGGGGGACCCCACCGGGATGGGATTTGGGGTCCCCAGAGGGACAGGGGGGACCCCACTGGGACGGGATTTGGGGTCCCCACAAGGACAGGGACGCAGGATGCTCCACCCCAGAGCTTTTGGGGAGCCCTGGGTGTCACCCCGGTGACCCCGTGGTGGCCCTGTCCCCACAGATCCCCCCACGGTCACCCTGTCCATCCAGCCCCAGACGGTGCAGGAGGGAGAGAGGGTCGTGTTCACCTGTATGGCCACGGCCAACCCCGAGATCAAGGGATACAGGTGAGCCCCAAAATCCCCGGGATTGGGGTCAAACGGGATCCCTGAACGTCCCTGTTCCCAAAATCCCCGGAATTGGGGTCAAACGGGATCCCTGAACCTTCCTGTTCCCAAAATCCCCGGGGTTGGGGTCAAACGGGATCCCTGAACCTTCCTGTTCCCAAAATCCCTCGGGATTGGGGTCAAACAGGATCCCTGAACCTTCCTGTTCCCAAAATCCCTCGGGATTGGGGTCAGATGGGATCCCTGAACGTCCCTGTTCCCAAAATCCCTCGGGATTGGGATTGGGGCTGGGATTTGGACTCAGATTGGGGCTGGGATTCAGATTGGGGAGTGATTGAGAATTGGGATCGGGATTTCGGATCGGGATTGGGATTCGGGATGGGGATTTAGGATTTAGGATGGGGGTGGGGGTCCCACGGTGTCCCCAAATGTCCCCAGGTGGGCCAAAGGGAGGAAGTGATTGGGAATTAGGAGCGGGATTGGGATTTCGGATCGGGATTGGGATTTGGGATCGGGATCAGTTTTTAGGATCGGGAATTGGGATCGGGATTGGGATTTAGGATGGGGATGGGGGTCCCACGGTGTCCCCGAATGTCCCCAGGTGGGCCAAAGGGGGGGTGATCATCGAGGAGGCCAAGGAGAACAGGTACGACACGCAGGTGGATTACACCTTCTTCACCGAGCCCGTGTCCTGCGAGGTGCACAACGACATCGGCAGCACCAACGTCAGCACCCTGGTGGATGTCCACTGTGAGCCACCCCAAACCGGCCCCACATCCCCAAAACTGACCCCAGGTCCTCAAAACTGACCCCAAATCCCCAAAACTGACCCCAAATCCCCAAAACTGACCCCAAATCCCCAAAACTGACCCCAAATCCTCAAACCCGACCCCAAATCCCCAAAACTGACCCCAAATCCCCAAAACTGACCTCAAATCCCCAAAACTGACCTCAAATCCTCAAACCCAGCCCCAAATCCTCAAAACTGACCTCAAATCCCCAAAACTGGCCCCAAATCCTCAAAACTGACCCCAAATCCTCAAACCCGGCCCCAAATCCCCAAAACTGACCCCAGAGCCCCAAAACTGACCCCAAATCCTCAAAACTGACCCCAAATCCTCAAACCCAGCCCCAAATCCTCAAAACTGACCCCAAATCCTCAAACCCAGCCCCAAATCCTCAAAACTGACCCCAAATCCCTAAACCCAGCCCCAAATCCCCTTCCTCAGGCAAAATCCCCTTCTGCAGCTTGAAATCCCCATTCCCCATCCCGAAATCCCCACCCCAAAATCCCCATCCCGAAATCCCGAAATCCCCACCCCGAAATCCCGAAATCCCGAAATCCCGAAATGCCCATCCCAAAATCCTGAAATCCCCATCCCGAAATCCCGAAATCCCCATCCCGAAATCCTGAAATCCCGAAATCCCGAAATGCCCATCCCGAAATCCCAAAATCCCAAAATCCCCATCCCTTAAATCCTGAAATCCCCACCCCGAAATCCCGAAATCCCGAAATCCCAAAATCCCCAAATCCCGAAATCCCGAAATGCCCATCCCGAAATCCTGAAATCCCGAAATCCCGAAATCCCGAAATGCCCACCCCGAAATCCCGAAATCCCGAAATGCCCCATCCCGAAATCCTGAAATCCCCATCCCGAAATCCCGAAATCCCGATCCTGAAATCCCGAAGTCCCGAAATGCCCCATCCCTTAAATCCTGAAATCCCCACCCCGAAATCCCGAAATCCCGAAATGCCCCATCCCGAAATCCTGAAATCCCCATCCCGAAATCCCGAAATCCCGATCCCGAAATCCCGAAGTCCCGAAATCCCGAAATCCTGAAATCCCAAAATCCCGAAATCCCGAAATCCCCATCCCGAAATCCCAAAATCCCGAAATCCCAAAATCCCGAAATCCCGAAATCCCGAAATCCCGAAATCCCCATCCCGAAATCCCAAAATCCCGAAATCCCGAAATCCCGAAATGCCCACCCCGAAATCCCGAAATCCCGAAATGCCCCGTTCCCGAGCTCTTTTCCCGGATTTCCCCGGGCAGTCGCCCCCCGGATCGTGGTGGACCCCAAGCCCACGGTGACCGACATCGGCTCCGACGTCACCCTCACCTGCGTCTGGTCCGGGAACCCCCCGCTCACCCTCACCTGGACCAAGAAGGAATCCAACATGGTGGGATCCCCTTCCGGGGCGTTCCGGAACGTTCCCGACCCCCTCGGGACCCCGCTGGGGGGTGGGATTTGGGATTGGGGGCAAAGGCGGCCCCCAAATGTCCCGAAACGTCCCGAAATGTCCCCAGATGTCCCCATCGTGGCTCCGTGTTCGCTCCCCAAAACTCGCTGGGAATGGGGATTTGGGATTTAGGATTTGGGATTTGGGATTTGGGATTTGGGATTTGGGATTTGGGATTTGGGATTTGGGATTTGGGATTTGGGATTTGGGATTTGGGATTTGGGATTTGGGATTTGGGATTTGGGATTTGGGATTTGGGATTTGGGATTTAGGATTTAGGATTTGGGATGTGGGATTTCATTTTGACTGGATTTGGTTTGGAATTGGGATTTGGGATTGGGGTCCAAGGCAGCCCCTAAATGTCCTAAATGTCCCTGATGTTCCCAACCGTCCTGGATGTCCCCGATGTTCCCAATGTCCCCGATGTCCCCAATGTCCCCAATGTCCCCAGTGTCCCCTGATGTCCCCGATGTCCCCAGTGTCCCCAATGTCCCCAACCATCCTTGATGTCCCCGATGTCCCCTGATGTCCCTGATGTCCCTGATGTCCCCGATGTCCCCCCGCAGGTCCTGAGCAACAGCAACCAGCTGTACCTGAAATCGGTGACGCAGGCCGACGCCGGCCAGTACGTCTGCAAGGCCATCGTCCCCAGGATCGGCGTGGGCGAGAGGGAGGTCACCCTCTTTGTCAACGGTCAGACGCCCCAAAAACCCCAAAACTGCCCAAAAAAAACCCAAAAACTGCCCCAAAAACTGTCCCAAAAAACCCCAAAACTGCCCCAAAAACTGTCCCAAAAACTGCCCCAAAACCCCAAAAAATGCCCCAAAAACTGCCCCAAAAAACCCCAAAAATACTGCCCCAAAATCTGCCCCAAAAACTGTCCCAAAAACCCAAAATCTGCCCCAAAAACCGCCCCAAAAACCACCCAAAAAAACTCCAAAAAACACTCCAAAAAAACCCAAGAACCGCCCCAAAAAACCCCAAAAAACCCCAAAAACCACCCAAAAAAACCCAAGAACCGCCCCAAAAAACCCAAAAAATACCCAAAAAACACTCCAAAAAAACCCAAGAACCGCCCAAAAAACCCAAAAAAACCCCAAAAACCACTCCAAAGAAACCCAAGAACCGCCCAAAAAACCCAAAAAAACCCCAAAACACTCCAAAAAAACCCAAGAACCGCCCCAAAAAACCCAAAAAACCCTCAAAAAACACTCCAAAAAAACCCAAGAACCCCCCAAAAACCCCAAAAAACCCCAAAAAACACTCCAAAAAAACCCAAGAACCGCCCAAAAAAACCCAAAAAACCCCCAAAACACTCAAAAAAAACCCAAGAACTGCCCCAAAAACCACCCAAAAAAAACCCCTAAAAACACTCCAAAAAAACCCAAGAACCACCCAAAAAACCCAAAAAAACCCCAAAACACTCCAAAAAAACCCAAAAACCACCCCAAAAAACCCAAAAAACCCCCAAAACACTCCAAAAAAACCCAAGAACCGCCCCAAAAAACCCAAAAAAAACCCAAAAAACACTCCAAAAAAACCCAAGAACCGCCCCAAAAAACCCAAAAAAAACCCCAAAAAACACTCCAAAAAAACCCAAGAACCGCCCAAAAAACCCAAAAAAACCCCAAAACACTCCAAAAAAACCCAAGAACCGCCCCAAAAAACCCAAAACCCACCCTCTAAAAACAGCCTCAAAACCACCAAAAACCACCCCAAAAACGGCCTCAAAAAAAAAAACCACAAAAAAAATTCCCCCCCAAAAAAATTCCCTGGGAATCTCCCCTGGAATCCTTTCCCGGAATTCCCTGGGAATCCTTTCCCGGGTGGATCATCCGGAATTCCCGACGTTTTTCCGCAGGGCCGCCGATCATCTCCAGCGAGCCGGTGCAGTACGCGGCGCGCGGCGACCGCGGCAAGGTCGAGTGTTTCATCGGCAGCACGCCGCCGCCGGATCGCATCGTGAGTGCCAAAACCTCACTCCATAGAAATGTTTTATATTAATTTGTATTTTTTTAACACAAATTTATATTTTTTTTATATATACGCGAGTGTTGAAATCTCGTTTTGGGGAAATATTTTGTATTAATTCGCGTGTTTTTACGTAAGCGTGTGTTTTTATATATGTGTGAGTGTTGAAATATCATTTTATAAATTATATTTATAATTTAAATATTAAATTAATATTTAAAAATGATTTATATAATCATTTATATCATTATATTATAGAAATATTTTATATAAATT